TTTTTTTTTTTTCCCTCCTTCTTACTCCAACCCTTTTCTGTTAAGGGGGGGGAGAGACAGGCAGCCGTTAACATACGGTGCCAGTGAAATGTTCTGCCAACTCCACAACAGCGTTCTCTTGCGTACTGAATGGCCACAGGGCCATTCCCAATGAGGCCAAATTCAAGCGCACGCTCTCGACTCCTGCTGATTTTTTTGGCGGGCACTACGGGAGGAGAGCAACCCAGCTCCGTGAGTGACGCAAATCACTCGGGGACAGCACTGGGGATAGAGGCCTCACTGAAGCAATCCGGGGGAGAAAAAAAAAAAAAAAAGAGTAGCTATAAATGAAGCTCAGCCTCCAACCGTTGTAGACCAAGTGCTTGTTTCTACTTGAAGGAGACGTCATGGAGGCTGGAGCTGTTTATCTCCTCTAAGCGGAGGCCAGATCTGTAGCTGACACCATTCTGCATTGCCCCTTCAAAATCAGGATGAGCGTAGTCCAAGTCTGGCCATGTGGAAGGGAGACGGTGAAAAGGCAAGCTCAGGGCACATCGGGTTTATCAGTACCTTGGAAGAGGTCACGAGCGCTTGCCAGTGTCTCAGTTGGCTTGGTTGTCTGGCAAGAGTTTGTTTATGAGTTAAACTTTGCTGGGTTCAAGGGAGCGCAAAATAAGAGAGAGGTTTGCTTACCTCTCAAACTTGGTCATCCACGCAGTACGGCAGTGGGAACCTTGAACTTGAGTGAGAAGTCACATAACTGGAGAAGGCCAGGGAGAGGACAACCTCAAGTGAGAGGGGCTGTGCTTTAGGGCTGCAGCAGGAAGGAGGGAATTTATGACAGCGTGACTGCTACCTTTGGCTCAGTGATCCCACATGCGCGATGTGCGTGATCACAGCACAGCATGATTGCCGTAACCGTCAATTCCAACAGCAAGTGAGGTGCAAGCTGGTTCGCTCCAGGGTTGGTTGCAGCTTTAGGAAGAAAGTTGTGCAACAGTGCATACATCTATGCACACCTGGCTTCTTTCAAAGAGAAAGGTCATCTGTTATCAAGCTGGCCCGTATCTGTACATGCGATTCCCTCCCTCTAGCATTCTATGGAACTTTGAATGTGATTTTTTTTTTTTTCTGCCTTCATTTGTCCTGGCTTTTGAAGAAACTAGTATTTGAAAAAAATCTCATGTTCAATAACTTTATCAAATTAAAATCACACTGATTATCTCTCTGAAGTTTGAAGAACATGCAAAATCCGCTGTGCTACTAAGCTCTGCAGAGTAGTCTTCACAATGGATACAAATGTACTACCTCTTTCTAGGAGTTTTTTGAACCATAAATGCATTCATGGTAGGCTTTGTTCTGGCTCTGCAAATGAACAGTTGGATGAAGACATTGGAAAGGCCTGAGAGCACAGGCACTGAATCTACTCTGACGTTGAGAGAATAGCTGCTTTCACTGTGCAATAACGTTTGTGTTGTGTGCACACACCAAGTTGTTACATCTCAATGTGTAGCCTACCTTAATGAATTATTAGATTATGTTGGCTTTCTTCCCTTGAAGGTCATCCCTCCCATAAATGAGAGGGACTTCAACCCTTGCTTAGATATTCTCTGGCTGTCTGCAGTTCTTCCGGGATATGCCAACTCTTCCCAGTCAGGCATGACATCTCGCTCATTTATCATCACTCACAAACCTTAGTCAAGACCCTTTTCTTCAAGCCACCTGGAAGGTGTTAAGATGCCACTGCGATGTAGTCTGATGACATTCTTCAGAGCATTTCTGTTATATTCTGAAGCAGCCCAATAGCCTATTGTTGAACAGCCTGCTGCAAAATAAATGTGGGAGTGATCTCTTTTCTGGGCAGTATACAGCTGTCAGACCTAGTTATATCACAGATAAGATCATTTCAGACCTCTGCATTTGAAACCACAATCCCTATATGAGTCCTGACCTGCACTTGATGGTGTCACACAACCCTAAGGAACTGTAAGGCTCCTAAAGGGCCCTGGAACAAACGTCTGGTAGAATACAGTGCTGTGCCTGGAAGGGAGGGCCAGGAGGGGCGGTAGAGGAAATGGCCTCCGTGAGGTCTCCTGCTCGCAGCAGGAGCAAGCGCTTTGGCTGTAAAGTTGGTAGGTTGAGCTTCATTCATAGCTATTCTTCTCTGGTTGCTTCAGGGTGGCCAATCCCAGCTGCTGATTTGAGTGCCCCACTGTTTATCTAGGAATGGTGAAGCCACCGTGAAGCTGGGTTGCTGTCCTCCTGTAGCATGTGCCATTCAGCAGGGGTTGAGTTTATGTACTGTATAGTGGGGTTCCCAGGATCTGTGCAGGACTGATGATGGCAGATGCTGTGCAAGGGGCCAAGAGCAAAGTTGCTGTGAAAATGCTGCATAGCCTGACTGTGGGTAAATGTAGCCCCAGAGATATGAAGGCAGTGGCTTCATAGTATAAAATTCAAGAAAATGCTCTCACAAAGAATATGCGGGGCAAAGAAACGTAATTGCTGACTGGAGTTGTGGCGATGTCTATCTTCCTTTCCTGTAGAAGGATAAAGTATGAGACTAGTGATCACCATTCGAGGAAGGAGCTTGATTGCTTTTAGGAAGGCTAGTCGATAGGGGAATTGAGATTTAAAAAAGGCGTTTTCAGTTGTGACTGCCTGGTTATAACAAAGCTTTTGTAGAAAATACCTTATGAGATTTGACCATAGAGTGGTGGGAAACGCTATTCTTTATAAGTATGTGCTTATAACTTTTTTTTTTTTTATAATTTTACAGTCTGCTAAGCTACGTAAGTTGCCTCCCTTTCTCACCATTTCTCTCCTGAGATTTAATTTTGACTTTGAGAAGCGTGAACGATACAAGGAAACTAGTTGCTACACGTTCCCTATCCAGATAAATCTGAGGCCTTTTTGTGAGCAGGTTTGTACTGCTATGTTTTTTAAAGTACCTATATACTTGGCAAAGAACAGCTACCTCAAGGACAGGCTATCTTTCATTTTGCGTTTTGTCCAAGCAAGGTATGGGACAAAGATCTGGGGTTCTTTTCTGTTCCCAATTCCTGTGTTTTTTCCAGAATGTTTCCAAAAGATTGCTTTTTAACAGAGTTGCAAATGCCTCCTTGCTGTACAAGGCGGGAGAGGACAATAATGACGTAAAACTTAATCTGGCGTTTGCTTGAAAGAAAGATCTGCCCTCTGAAAGTTGAAATTAAATTTGTCATACCATACGTAAATTTAGCTGTGTATATTATATATGCCTGCAGCTATTTCACTTTTTTTAGGACTCTGTCTTTGCGTTCCTGTATGTATATTTTTATTATTAACTGAGCTAGACCATTGCCTGATGCCGATTGTGGTCCTTAAAGTACATAAAAGAATATACTTAATAGACCCTGTTATTGAAAAGGGAATTTTTCTTATCGAAATGTTCCAATGCAAGCTTGTAAATCTCTCAGTGTTTGCATGTGTGGAAGCCTTTTTTCAGGTGATTTGTGTAAATATGTTGTTGTTTTCTCTACTCTTTTAAGCAAAATAAGATGGTTATGAACACAGGTCGGGCTATTCTATTAGTTGAGTAAAATTTTGTTATTTTGAAATATATGAATTTCCAGCGTTGATCAAAATCATACTTAAAAAGCTGCTTAATAAGCATATGGCTTTATCCACACTTTGCTTTTGGTCCATGCTAGTGTTCCCTCTTTAGTCTCCCCACATGCAGACGCACACAGAGAAGTATCAGAAGCTATGCTGTTGGCGTGAAATTGTGTGGAAGACTTACTGATTTATACTAATCTCCTTTTTTTGTTGTTTTTTAAAGACCGAATTGGATGATTCAGAGTATATGTATGAGCTCTTCTCTGTTATTATACACAAAGGTGGCTGCTATGGAGGACACTATCATGTTTATATCAGAGATGTGGATGAATTAGGGAACTGGCAATTGCAAGTAAGTCCTATAAGCTTATTCTTCTTGCATGATGTATCTCATTTTTTCAAAAAAATATTAAGAACTTGTGGAGAGCATTAAGATTTTGTGGGCAATTTTAGCTTGCCAGTCTGGTCAACTAGCTCGTGTTATTGGGCTCTCTTTTTTTTCCCATACGATATGATATCTTTGCTCGAGACTAACGTAGTCATTGTCATGGATGACGCAAATTAGCTGTTTGTAAATAAAATAAATGCCTTTTCTGCTAGAGGAAATTGATATAGATATTCTTTATGACGATATTCCGCCTGTAGTGGGCAGTAGAGGCAGCTTATCAGACAAACTTGTCTGTTCGACAGCCAGCTTTCTGCCGCACACATCCTCGCAGTGGTCAGGCAGCTCTTCTCTGTCATGTAACCGTACTGGAGGGGTATTCTCCACTAACGTATGACAGATGTACAAAGAGTCAGACAGTGGGAGTGCAGGCACTCCGGTCATCTGGCCGCAAGCTGCTTGAACTCTTTCATGGAAAAAGGTGAGAGAATCTTGGTCACGTGTTGTGTGTCGTATGATGAACCAGGTGCTTATAGCTCACCTCCAAATACTCACTTGAAGAGGCTGCAGGGAGCACCTGCATGAAATGTTATGCACAGCTTGCTGTACAAATTTGTTTTGAGGATTTTCTTCACGTTTCTTAATTGCACGTGCTAATGTTAGAGCAGACTGTAACAGAATACCGCTAGTTGTATTTGAAACAACAGTATTTGAGAATACTACTATTTTTCTTATACAGGAAGAAGAGGGTAATATAATCGAAGATAAAGTTTTAAGAGATACAGAAAATACTAAAGAAATAGAAAATCCACTGGCAGTGTTGAAAGGGATTTTATCAGAGGTATGGTATGTAAAGAGTTTATTGCTTTGATTTTGATGTTAGTGAACCTAGAAGAAGGGGTTGAAGTATGAAGGAGTGGGCAGCCTAAGAGTACAGAATTCTTCTGGACTTCTTTGAAGCAAATAAAAGTCGTAACTTAAGTGTACTTTAATACTTAAAATGTCTCGTTCATACCACGAATGGCCATTTTTTGAGTATTTCTGAAGTTGCTCAGCTACGCTGTTGCAAAAGGTGATGTTAAATTGGCGTATTAACAAACCGGAGTATTTTATACACTTCAGAGTTGGGTTCTTTGCAGTTGATCTCTTGACATATGTAGCCTTCCTCTTTATTATCCTAGTTTTTAATTTCTCTGTCTCTATAGGAAGAATCTAAACAAATGCCTGTGGATCAATTAGGGCAGAAGTTGTTGGAGAAAAAAGGGATGTCTTGGAACAAGAAATACCGAAAACAATACGGGGCGTTACGAAAGGTAATCTACCTGTACGTTAGTTTTTCTTCTATCACAAGGAGATTAGTTTGTTTTTATTACTAAGATAACTTTGTATTTGTATCCCTAGAAAATAGTTGGTAGGATGGTAACTGAAAACACTGACAGTTTGACTAGCAAGATACTACATATATAAGAGGGGCAAGGTTTGTAACATAAATTAGTATTTTTCATTAGGCCGAAAGGTACAGATTGGGAAACAGGGAAAAGATTCTCAAGGGGTTATATGCCTGAAAGCTAGTATCTTTTTTTTCCGGCCACAATGTTTGGCCTAAGAAAGAATTAACTTTACTGACCAAACTTTGTTTTATTTTTGTCCGTGGATGAAACTGCAAAGGCACTACTACACTTGAACATAAAAGCACTGATGAGAATTAAAGATATAATGCAATACCTCTTCACAGTCATGACAGAAATGAGGGTTTGAATCCAAATGCCAGTTTTTGGTAGTTTAGGATATGTCCAAAATGAACACTTCAGGTAAAATCTTGTGTTTGTCCAATTGGTTATTGTATTTTCTGGTGCTTTCAGGAAAATACCCTGGCGTTTGAGTTACGCATATGTGGAACATTGACGTATGACTATTTTTTGAGTAGGATTAGCAGTGTGATTTTCACACTGTAATTACTTAAAAGTAGCTGTAAAATCTAAACATGAGTCTTCTGCAGAGGTAGTTGCTTTTCTGACTTTGAGAGGGAAGTGATTTAGAAATAAGTTGTGAGCAATCCTGTATTAACAATTTAAAAGATGGAGTGCTAATGCAAACATAACAAAACTGACTTTTTTTAATTGCCAGATCTACACCAAAAGCACATTGATCAATGCAAGGTTTTGCTTATTGGAATAAGACTGCATGTTATTTTGTTTTTTAAGTATCAAATGAGGTTTTTGATTATGATTAAAAGTGAAATTCCGTGGGTTTTTGTGTTTTTGTTTTTTTGCAAGAGGCACAATTTTATGTTTTGTGTAATGTGGGCACCAATCCTGTTTGAAGTGTCTACATGCTGCTGAAATGAAAGTAGAAGTCAGAGTGGGTAAGCTGGGAGAAACTGGAAGAGTAGGTTTTAAGTTCTTTAAATGCCGTAATGGGTAGTTTTAATTTAGCTGTCTTCAGATCTGTTTGAGGTGCAACTCAGCAGACCAGATCTTAGCCTAAGATCCCTCTTTGATAAATGTGGATTGTAGGGAGCAGAGGGTTAGAGGGCTAAGCTGGTTGGGATTGGAACTCTCCTGTGTCTAATAAAATAGAAGCTTTTTGGTTGCCTATAGAGCATCTCTTTCATATATTTCCTTTCAGAGAGCAGAAAGTGTGCACTTCTAAGAAGGGTTTTAAAAGGAATCTAGTACTAGTCTTAAGTGAGCCAACATCCTTGAAATACAGAACATAGTCTGATTTAATTCTCAGTGATGCATGTAGGTCAAAACCAATACTTTCACTGTGGCCTGCATGTTAGTTTGCAGTTAGACAGGAAGAAAAACCTGAAACTGCATATGAGAAAAATCCGGCAGAAAAGTTGGTTGGTGGGGAGTGATGACATTTTTCTGTGTAAAATTGAGGAAATACTTGAGGAAGCATCATAGAAGCAAGTTTTCCAAAGACACAGAAGTTGTAAGGGCTGGGTTTGTGTATAAATTTGGGCTGGGTTTGTGTATAAGTTTGAGGACAAGTCAGATGAGATAGCTGATGCAGTCTACTATGTTTAATGCTGGATATTTTCCAGTTCTAGAAAGCTGTTTTTTCATCTTGTCCTTACTTTCCTTTTAGTATTTGCAGAATCATCCTCAGATATTTCAGTTCTGTCCTGATGAAAGCAAGGTTGGTCTTAAGGAGAAATATCATAAGGTCCCATGTAAGTCAGATTCTCAAGGACAAGATCTGCAAAGCCCTCCTCAGAAGAATGGTTTCCAGTGGAATTCAGAAAAAACATCTACAATACGAAGGGACAGCTCTGCTGGTTGCCATTGGTTTGATCTGAATGATTCAAAAGTCCAGCCAATTAAGGAGGAGGATATTGAGAAACAATTTCAGGGTAAAGAGAGTGCCTACATGCTGTTTTATCGAAAATCTCAGTTGAAAAGACCTCCGGAAGGTACAAAAAGCTCATCTTGATATCTGTCTTTACCCACACTTTTTTTGGAGGATGAAAGCAGCTGGGCATTTCTGTCCTTTCCAAGTACTAAAGATACAGTTGTCTGTCTTGTGCTCAGTGAAAAAGAGGTTAGCTAGAGATGAAGAGGTTACCTCTACAAAGCCAGTGCACAGTTAACTGGCTATGGATGACAGACTTTTTTCCCAATATTCTTCTCAAATACTAGGAAAACATCTCATACTGTAACAAATAAAAGTTGTTACTGATAGTGTTCGTGTCTTCTTTTCCCTTAAGGAAAAGTTGATGGGAATGTGAAAAGAAATTAAAGAACTTGTTTGTTTTGTATCATCTTGCAATTTATCCTCTGTATTGCAAAAGGATGTAATGCTATTACTCAGAATTTTCAAAATTACCATACTGTAATGTCTCATCTTGATCACTTCTCTTCTTCCTAAAACATGTTTTATTCAGCCGAGACTAAGTTAACCTATATTACTTGTTCCAGCTCGAGGAAATCCAAGGTACCGAATTCCTGGACACCTTTTGAATGAAATGAATGCTGCTAACACCGAGCTGCAAAAAAAGAGGTATATTAATGTAACTGTGCTGATCTCGTAAACAGCACTGTTAATCTACAGCTCTCTAAAGTGATTTCAAGTGGAAGGAAGTCATTTAGTAGATGCAGAGTTCAGACACTAAAATGACTCAGTGTCATAGAGAATAATCAAGGGATACAACTTGTATGTCCAGATGCTATCTTCTGCTGGACCCCTGCCTCACAGCTAATGGCCTGCTTAGGCATTTTCCAGAACTTAAGAACAAACCTCCTTACAGCCTCAAATTGTACCAGATTTGCATGAAAATCAGTGCAGATCTGGATGGAGAATGTTATCTTATTAATCTTTATAAAGGGAGTTTTCATTGAGGGGATGATTTGCCCTACTGTGAAACAACAGGTAAGTGGTGTCTTTTATCAGAAACGTGGAGGAAAGAGCTAGTGGTATTCAGGTTGGGTGAAACGATTCCTTGTGATGAGAACCACACAGACCTGATGATATGAGAGAATCCCAGCTAAGGTGTAAAAATGTAGACACGTGAAAGTCACAGATGTCTTCTGTGCTACCTGTGTACTGTGCAAATTTCACATTTTTAAATGACATCTTTGCTACTGCGTTTAGCATCTTGCTGATAGGACCAGATCCAGGTATAAAGGAAGAAGGCATGGCTGTTTCTTTCCTGACTCATTTTCTATGTAGTTTCTCCTGTGTGTGTGTGTGTGTGTGTGTTTATACACGTGTGTGCACATTCTACAGAATGCTGATCTGGAACACAACCTGAAAAAATCCTAAAACCTCCCTTATCTCTAAAGATGAAGTTTATCATCCCATTTAGAAAGGTACTGTAGAAGCAAGCACTATAACAAGTGTGTTCTCTGTGTGTGTGGAGGATGTCTTAGCTAGTGCTGTATGGTGCAATCTATAAATCACTGGCATCTCTGAGCACCTCTTTGCGTACCCGATGAGGGAGGGAGGGAGGGATATGACGGTGAATTTTTCCAAGAGATTAATAACCCAGGATATCAGTTCCAGGGTGGCTGCACAGAAGCTTCTCTGAAAAAAGTTAACTGTTTGTCACTGTTAAATACAACAGCTTATTACTGTGTTGTTCTTTCAAAGGGTTGAATGTGACTCAGCAAAAAATGGCATTGATTTACATCTCCATTTGAGCTCATGTTATAAATTTCACAATGGGGCTTTGCACCCTTCGCTTACTTGGAAAGAGAGTGTTGTGGATCTGACTATTGATAGAAGAAAAACTCTAGGAGACCTTCGACAATCAGTATTCCAGGTATTTACTATATTAAATGAATCCAAACGCTTCATTTTTACTTGAGCCACAAGAGCATTTATAAATATACGTATGCCACAGTTTTTTATCTCAATGAAAAATTTTCATCAGTAAATGAAATTTTAGGAGGCTGACAACCATGGATTTACCCAAAAGGAAACTTTGGCTTGAGGTTGGCTCTTGAAAGACTAAAAAAGCCACAAAGCTGATGAAGCTTTAATTTTGTAGGCTTTAAAGCTGATGTAAGCAAATAAATTATTTTATATCTGGGCAGCTCTAGACTTATTAATAATATTTGAGCATGTGACAGATTCATCTTTGTGCTTTCAAGGAGCTAGCTGACCTCAACAGGAAATGCTTAGAGTAGTTTAAAAATCAAAAAAACTAAATAAACAAATCCTGTAGTTTAACTGTTGAATGCGGTATCTTTCCTTTAGCTTACTGAAGAATAAATGCAAAGTGGCAAAAAGGAGGGAGTGATAGCATTTGGTTTGAGTACAGATGCAGAATTTGTGAAATGCTTTTTTCGTACACATCTAAACCAAAGCCAACGTGATTTTTGGAAACGTTGTTTGCTTTTCCTATATTTTACAACCTTTGGCTAATGTCTCCTGGAAAGGTTATTTTTTAGCCAGTAGCTAGTATGAAAGAGTGAGTCCTAGATACTTAAATGCTCCCTATGTTGCTAGCCTTATTGAATAGAGAGCAGGGACGTGTTAATATTTTAACTGTAACAGCTTTCAGTGGAGTTGAATTTTGAGTGGTATGAGTTATTGCTTACTGGTGATTTATATCATTTTTTTCTATTCTTGTTAATTAGATGTTGGAATCTTGGGAAGGAGACATGATTTTCAGTATTGCTAAACCTTTACCAGCAGGACTACATATTTACCACTCTCTCGATGGTAAGACTATGTTATTTATATGCTGTATACATTACAGAACATAGAGGATGTTTGTATGTAAGCATACAAGCTCAATAAGCTTACTTGCAAATGCACTTAACCATTGAGCTCTTTGTGGTACTATTATTAGGAACTTTAAACTTTTTAATGTAATCTTTGTTCTCAAGTGCAGTAAGAGTGCAGGAAACTAAACATATTTGCTGACAAAAAATGTCTTTTTCTTTATATTTTGAACCTGATATGCTTGCAGAAGTTTGCTGTCGTAGTAAATACTGAATTAGTAGAGGAGAGATAGAGGAGAGCAGCCAGCGTAATGTTAAAGAAAAGCATAGCTTAAGCCTGAGCAGAAGTAGGAATTTGCATAAAGACGACGTTAGTTTTAACATGAAAATTAATGTCTTAAAATCATGAGTTCTGGCATTTAGGTTGTGCAATGCTATGTAATTCTAGGTGTTGACAGTCTTAAAAATTATATTTAGCCACTTTTAAGTTTTATAGTCTATGTACTCTGTTTTAGCAAATTAGGATTCTACCTTTCCATAGGTAGAATTTATGGAAGCTGATCCAGCTTTCCATAATAGTACATCAGAAGACAGATGCAGTCATAGCTGCTGTAAATATTCCTCCAGATCTTAGTATATTTCTTTATATGACACTGACTTTTTTTTTTAAAATCTAAATCTGACTTACACTAAGAAGGTGAAAAAAATACAGTGTAGGCATTAATGTTTCAAAAAATAGGCTTAGAAAGTACGATATGTAGCTCATTTGTTAAATCTAACCTTTTTATTTTAAATCTATTGATATGCTGTTAAGCCTCTAGACAATCCTGACCAAACAGATTTTTCAAGTGGTATCTTTGGCCTCAGTTTGCTAGGGAAATTGAGTAGGTGGGCCTGTGTGCTGGGCCTCTTTACCCAGTGCGACAGCTAAAGGGATGTGTGTCTTTTTGTTGGTCATGCTACATGAGTGAACCTTAACTTTAACCCCTGAAAATGCTGATGACATGGCAATGTTTGCAAAGGTAGACTTGGAGTCCAAGTAGAATGTGCCAGTGTATTTTAATTCACCAGCTGACCCTGCTTATCCATTTTGGAGGGGTCTGAACTTGATGATTTGCTCTTTTTAGGAGATGAGCTGACACTGGATAGCATTGGGCTGGCTGATGGAGCAGACATCTTTGTGTGGAATGGGAAAGAGGTAACAGAAATCCCCTCTCTCCTTGTCAATTCTAAGGAGAAAAGATGCAATCACCAGACACATTTTTGGGAAAATTTAATCTGTTCTGGAGATGTGCTACTGACATACTAACATTGGCCGCTTCAGCCTCATCTAGGGTACTTTGTGCATGTTGTTGCTGTATCTTGTGTGTGCTGTGCAATGTGCTTCTTGAATTACAAATAGAGTTGCACCATGCAGAACGTGGTATGGTCAGATTGGTAAATATCCAGTGCCAGTTAGATTGGAAAACATCTGATGCCTCTTAGGAGGAGACCAGGTGATAGCAATGCAATAACAAAAACTTATATTCTGTGGCAAATCATTCCACAAATAAAAGAAGTCCCTGACAGGTGTAGTGTTGTATATGGTTTCCCTGAAATACCATGCTCCCTTTTTACTGTTGCATCTTCCTTCTAATATCAAGGCTTCTGTTTAACCTTCAGATGCTTGTCTCAGTGGTTATGTAACAGCAGCAGAAGATTGCCCTCTCTCTCTGTAATGGGGTAAAATATTACTTTAAAAATATTCTTACTATACAAGTATACATTTTTTCCTGTGATATATCAAAAATAAAGATGCGTCCAGTAACAGAATTGTTTCTTATCTTCATTTTACTTTTGGTATGGTCTTAACTACTCCAGCTTGCTTCATGGCCAAATTGCCTTAGACAAGGAACTATGTTCTTGGCTCAGGTTAAATTTCAGAGAGAGCAGGTTCAGCCTTTTTGTCTCAGTAATCTTAATCTTGTCATTTATTTCTCTGTAGTCTTTTCTTCTTACAAAGGTGTGCATTACTGATCACCACTGCATAAATCTTAACATTCTTTGCTACAGGTTGGTGGTACAAAGATGTTGACCGGCCCTGATCATGAACCTGTTATTGTAAATGTTCTTCGTTTGGCAGAGTATAATGAAGGAGGTAAAGGTCAACACTTCACAGAATCCCAACACATCATTCCGTGTAACACAGAACTGGGTGCTTTGCGCAGCGCCTTAGTACCGTCAGGAGGAATCATTTTAAAGAATGGTTCAGGACTTGGTAAAGATTCCAAGAACTGGGAAGTTCTTCCTGAAGAAGATATGAAGAAGACAGTCAAAAGTGTGGGTCTGATGGATGGATGCTCAATACTAATTTTAGACAGTCATGACCAGAGGTAACCATTTTGATTATGAATATAATTAAGCAAAAAGCAGTTAGGGCAAAATCTGTTCCATTAAAATTATGCTAGCCGTATGTTTTTCTAAACTAATTGTCATTTTATGAACATTTTGATGAAGGTAATGTAACCTTAAGTTTTGGAGATCAGGTCCTTATCAACTGTTAGATGTTGGTTTGCTCTTAAAGTGCAGATGAAGTCCCATCTTTTGACTTACATTGTAATGGGAAAAATCTAGAGAGAAGAACTTGGGCCCAGTGTGCTTGCACATTTTTGGAGTAACTTGAATTTCTGAGATTTCTGAGTTGGGAGGTTCTCCAGGAGACTGGGCAGGAGGAGGGAACTGAGCAGTATCGTAACAGCACGCAGCTCTGCCGAATCTCTCGGTCAAATCTTTTAAGTTGCCGGGGACACGAAGCAAGCGTTTGGTCTCATTTCGCTTCCCAGTGTGTAGCATTGAAGTTAGATTCCCATCTGTAGAGACCTGGAGATATGTGGTTGTTATATAAATGCTGACTTCCTAGTTGAAACAGTTGTGAAAAAAATAAATGAAGCAGTGAATTGTTCACCAAGGACTGTTTCTGTGTTTATATATATCGTTGCAGACAAACAAAAAGTCTCAAATTCTAGTCATGCCTTACTGTACTTTTTAAATATTTTTTCCAAAAGCCTTAAATCCCACCTCAGAAAGTGACTTAAACTCTGAAGTGCCTTCAGAAGCTCAGATCCCACTGAAAACCAGTTACCAATGCATAATTGTTACTGGCTTACTCAGTTACCAGCCCAGAGGTGCCTGGCTGTGGCATGCGTGACTATTAATGACCTAGACATTATTGATTTATATAACAGCTTTGGTAATTAGCATTATAGCCCACGTAACATGTAGAGTTTTCTTGTCTTCATTAAATTTAATGATGCCCATTTTTGCGCTGCTCTTCTTTATAGCTTGGTGAATGTATCAAGTGGCAATTTGACTGCTTTTACGTATGACATCAGCTGGCTCCAAGTTAAAAACTTCTGCAGAACAGATGCTGAAGAGAAACAAGTTAAAATTACTGCCACTATCGAAACAGTAAGAAATCTAATTGATTGTTCAGAGATAGAACACAGGCTTTTGGTTTCTCTGAACAGTTTGGCTAGTGCAATTGGCCAATTAATAAGAGTATAATTTTGTACAGGAGCAAAATGGCAATTTTGTTTTTGACTTTTCCAAGGGCTGGATTTAGCCTCAGAGTGTAAGTTTTCCTTACACAGTGCCAACTCAGTTACAGTTTCTACAGGCAGTGATCAGAATAAATTACAGGGATTTTTATGACTGAAGTTAAACAGGAGACACTTTGACTGCTCAGTAAAAAGAATCTAATGCTGATTTCTTGGAACACTGCAGTCTACCGTGACAGTACCAGTCTCTCTGGTACCGTTTCTGACTTTTTAAATAATTTCATGTTATATGAAGTACTACTTAGTGCTTTGAGTGCTAAATTACAGGATCAATTGAGCAGTTCTTAAATATTAGTCTTCTGCTAAATACTAAAATTAAATATCACCTTCTTTTCCTTGGAACACGGTTTAAAAAATTCCAGAAATATATTATAAATTGTGTGGCTATCGTATTAAATATGATTATATTAAAGAAATGCTTAGATCCGTATAGTGTTAACGGGAATAGGAACATAACTAGTAGGCATTTCAAGTGAAGGCTGCCTTTTGTTGGTATTTAAACACCAGATGTGTTCTTGGCATTTTGCATTAGAGACTTTAATATTGCTTTCTTTTAGGTGATGTCAGATATCAAAATGAAAGCAATACGGGAACTTCAGCTAGAAGAGGAGCTAGGTAAGTGTTCAACTGCTTTATTTTTAGATGCGATATTGTTAGAATTTGCTGTCTGACTTCCTGCTTGGCATGAGAGAGTATTCAAAACAGCAGAATTCAGTGCTGTGAAGTTGCTGGGTGAGGAAGAGAGAGTGCGACCCATTTAACATTTATTTAATTCTGAATAAAATGTTTTTTCTTAACTTAAAAACAAGTTAGTGATAGTCTTGATTAAAATATGATTTTATGGAGCTTTTGTGTTCATCTACTAGTTTTTCAGAATCTATTTTAGTTGCTGGAATAATCATCATCGTCTTACTAAAATATTACACTGAAAACTGAAGCAAATTTTTTGCTTCATTTCCTTTCTTTAAGACACACCCATTTTCTTTCTTTAAAGAAATGCCTTACTGATACCTTTACATATGGGGACATTTGGGCAGTTTTATGGTATTTTACTGATTGTGACTAGGAGCTGACTTGAAAGAAAAAGTATCCTTTCACGGAAAGGATAAAAAAAAAAACACTAAGACTGTTCATGAGGTCTTTAGGAAACTCTCTCCGACTATACTTTTGATGTAATACCTTCAAAGTGAAGCCTTTAAAATAAACCTGTTGTCATTAGTCTTAAATATGTTATCTGTCTAAACTTCTAAGCCAAATTTCTTGTGATTTGATATAGTTAATACATCTAACTCTCTTCCCCACCCCCCTTTTTTTCAGCAAAGGACAGCTGTCTTAGGCCTGTTAGTGGAAATGGGAAACTTCTCTCTCCAGGTAAAATTTATTATTATTTTTTGTATCAGTCCATAAGAAGTTGAATTGGGAGACTTCAACCTTCTCGTCGTCATTTCGTGGGAGACATGCACGTGTACTCTAATAATTTCCTTGCTTAACTGAGCAGTTTTGTGGGGTTTTTTTCCAGTTTCACTACTGTTTACTAACAGTACCAATGCAAAGCCAGTAGATGAATGTAATATTCAGCTCATTTTTTTTTCACTTGCCTCTCTAACGAGTAATAGTGAGTAGCATACTTGCAGTTGTTTATTGACCGTTGGCCATGTGCTTCAAGAACGTGGGAATTAACAGAAAGTTCTGTTCGCCACGCTTGTTTCATAAACTAAAAGTCTGTAAATGATCTATTTTGAATCGCTTTTATATCATTAGCAGGGCAACTTTCTGTTCCAGGAAAGAGAGTCCTTTTTTCATGTCTTTCTAATTTCTTTTTCTTTAAACAAAAAGGACTAAAGGTATTTGTTGAAGAGTATTGATGCACAAGGTTGGATGTTAGTACTGCTTGAGCAGTAGCCTTGAATAATGTGGTGACAGATTAAACATTAAAGCTCTGGATTGTGACGTTCTTGTTTACTGTGAGAAGGGAGCTTGCCTCTGATATATGAAGCACAGTGAATAATGTGTGGATTTCTGCTTTGTGCGTGTGGATTTCTGCTGTCATGAGAGTGAAGGAACGTGCTAACGCCATAGCCTGGTCTTTGATTTAGATGAACATGGGATACCACCCATCACTGTATAATAATGCTCCTGATGGCCAGTGTTCACCAGAAAAGAATCCCCACCTTTACTTTTGGCACTGTTGTGCCTGTGGTGAGAAACTGAGTGTATCAGCTTTGTGCTTGCTGCAAAATGTTTTCTGTGTTTTCACTGGTTTACTAATATACTACGTTAGTAAGAACACAGTCAGGAGGCCAAGGACAGATATTGATCCCCTTAAATCTAATGGCTGCCTTCAACTCCCTGACAGGGAGCTGTAGAGAAGACAGAGCTAGATTCTTCTCAGAGGTGCACACTGAAAGGGTCAGAGGCAACAGATACGAGTTGCAGCAAGGGAAGCCCCAACTGCCTATGGGGGGAATTCACAGAGAGAGTGGTGAAACGGTAGAACGTGGGCCCACGGAGGGACTCACATAGGACCACCCTCCTTGGAAGTGTTCAGAGCTTGACTGGGAAAAGCCTGGAACGACCTCATTTGACTTGAGCTGGTCTGGCTTTGAGCAGGGGTTTGAACTAGCTAACCTACAGATGTCTCTTCTAACTGAAATTATTTTGTGACTCCGTTGGCAAAAGGTGAGGGATGGGGCTTTGTACAAATGTCTCTTTGCTCTATTTGTGGAAGACTTACTGATTTAATGTAGAAACTGTGGAAGTGCAATTTCTGAATGTTGCTGGATACTTTGCTGCTCTAAAGAGAAGCCTGATAGAATGGATATTTTCAGGAAGCAGCTTTTTCATGATGTTTTCTGTATTTTCTCCTGCCTTAAGTGCCAGAGGATTATACTGTCAAAGAAGCAGAACTGAAAATGGGAAGCTTGTTAGGGCTGTGCCATGGAAAATCTCCAACTTCCACTCAGGTAAAATAGTGCTGTGACTGAAAAGAGCCTAGTGCTGCTTTTATGCTCTGCTTACGTTTCCTAATATTTCATGTAGTCCTTTTTTTTCCTTTTATAATGATTGTAGTAATAAACTGGAATGAGGAAAAAACCTTGCGCGCTGGCGTTGGGAATTATAAGCATTAAGGCTCACGCCATTTATCTCTGTTGCAGAAGGCCAACAGCATATATGTGACCAGTTAATATAGCTTATTTGGCCAATGGTGAATCATTAAGTTGCAGCAATTCATCTGTTTGCAGTTGTCAGTCTTCTGTGCTCTGGTGTGCATATACTTTAGTAAAGAACCTAAAGTAAGAAAAGGGAAGGTATTGTGTTTGACACCTGCAAGTTGTAAATTTGCAAAAAAAAAAAAAAAAAAAAAAAGGGGGCAAATTTGTTTTTT